TGCTCTAATGGTAATGCAAGCATTTTACTTATTAATATTAATTTTATTGATTTTGTTTCTGGAATATTTTTGTTTTCTTGTTTATGGTTTTTTATATTTATCTGTTTAGAAATTGAAGTGATATGTAGAGATTGCCAGAAGCTTTTTGAATAATCATTTATATTTTTTAAAAAAAAATATTATATTTATATATCTGCATTAACTAATAATAGCCTGTTCGTGGTTTCCTTTACGTTAATTTAGTTACTAAAGCAAACGTTTTCTTTTTATCATAGGTTCTTGGAATTTTGATTTGATCATGATGCATGAGAACGATGGAATAGAAGAAAAAACAAATAAGCTAAACAGAGTCACGAGTCATCGATACGAAGAGTATCATTCGATTTGGATAAATTCCAAAACACTACCAAAGCATTTGGAAATTTTTTTTGTTTTTTCGATTTGACGTAGCTTGGAATTAATTACAAGGCTGAGAATCCAAACAATTTAACTTATTAAGGAATGCTTTCATTTGAGGGAAAAAGCGAGAAAGAAAGGCTTTCATTTAAAACCCTGTCAACCTCTTATCTCCTCTGTATATTGTATAATTAGGGTTTTGTACCACACACGGCCATTAGTAAGAATCAATATTCAAAACGATGTTCATTATACCACAATACTCATAAATATGGTGATGAACTGATGATGATGAATGTCATATTTTTTTTTTCCATCAAGCTAACACCTATTAAGAACTAAAATTAACCAGTTAGAAAAAAATCGCCCGTTATTGTGGTCATGTTGTAGAGAATTTAGCTTTTAGTCAAAGTTAGAACATTAGTCTTTCCGTGATTTCAATCATGGTTTTGGTTATTATACTTAATTTTTCATTATAATTTGCTTAAATGACAATAACACAGCTTTTATACCTTTGAACAAAAATATCCATCCTAGTGAGCATTATTCCACTGTAACAATACAAAACTATAACGTTAGATTATCCAAAACAGAGGTAGAAATGGGTCGTGGGATCATCCAACACTCTGCCTCTCGACGAAAATCATTAAAAACCCACCTTTCCACTTTGTTTAGATTTCAAGTCTTAAACGTATATTGGTTAACTTTATTTTCATGTCACTTGTTATTGCTTCACTTGTTTAACTTGTCTTGTATCCACTTATATTTACTTTTGCTTCTAATCTATACCCTCCAAAATGATGTCCATTTTAAAAAGGATGAACAAAAGCATCCCTAGTGTTTCTATTTTGAATCAAAATAATATTAGTACGATTTAAAGTGTTAGTAACCTAATGGTAACGCAAGGGGATTATTTTTTTTAATTGGTTCCCCGGATTCAAATTACATTTAATACGGAAGACTACTTTTCAAATCAGACTATTTGAAAAACTGGCTTCTGAGCTCAGTCAAAATAACATGTAGAGAAAGCAAGAAAGAGCGTTGCAAAAAATAGAAGCAAGAGGTTGGGCTTTGAGACCTCATGCATGAACCGCACATGATTCTTCAGCTCCTTTTTAACACTTTTTCTTTCTATTGGGCTTAAATTCTTGCACGAGCCCAAGACCAAGCTCACCAACCATTTCACAGTTCACACAAACCTAGACTTTTTTTTTTTTCACACACCTAAACTTGCTTTTGTGCTGTTTTATTTTGCCAACTTATGATCCAAAACAATGTTTTTATGTTTTATATTTTATTTATAGATATACTGTTTGAACCGTTTGCAAGAACTAACTACTTGTTAAAAAACTATATACATTGCGCAGTTTGTACTGAATATTAACTGTGTATCTAAGAATGTAAATATATTCGAGATCTTAGAGATGAGTTGTTAACTCCTCAAAAAGATTTTCAACCAGAAAACCGTTAGCGAAAACCTGACCATAATACTTTTGCTTAATGGAAAATTAGTCATAAACGCCTCAGATTACGCACAGTGGCGGATCTAGAAAATAATTTTAGTGGGGGCAAATTAATTAATTAATATACTTAAATTAAATATTATTATATTAATATTTATATTATTTTTTTAAAAATGTATTTTTATAGTGATACAACTAAATAATTTTTTTGAAAAAAATATAAGATGCATTCACTAACAAAATCAAATGAAGTAAAAAATGATAAAATAAGTTGTTAAGAAAATAATGATATTGAAAGTTTGAGTGACAAAAGAAAAAATTACTATGTAAGAAAAAACAAAATGAAATAAAAGGAAACAAAAAGATGGGAATAAAAGCAAAGATGAAAAAAAATTGATATGGCAAGTGGCGAAGAAAAAAAATCAGAAAAGGAAACTCATAATAAAATAAATGAGCAAAATAAAGGGGTCAGATGGAGGTTTGAACAGAAGACTAGTGGGGGCAAACTGAGGTTTTAACCGCCGCAGCTAGATAATCTTCAATGTTTCCTATGTATATAAACTAATATCTATATTTTTATGGGGCAGTTGCCTCCTCCTTGTAAGCTGTAGATTCGCCCATGATTACGCAGTGGAACGCCGTTCCAGACCCAACGGGCGTGTACGTATACCTTTTTTTTTGTTTTCTAACCATATATATTGAGCAGTATACTGAACTAATCAGCAAAGAATTCTCGAAAACATCATACAAAAGTGTTCCAAGTTTCTATACGTGTTTGCTAACTATTAAAAAAAAAATTACCATGCCCCTTGAATTTGAACCGGATACGAGCTGTTTTTTTCGTTACAATCAATCATATATTCACATACTATTATAGTGTAAACTTTATATATAATTAGATTTTGACCCGGGTTTGAAAAGCGCGGAAATTTTTCATGATTAAAAATTTATATAATTGGGTTTTATCTTAATTTAAAGAATGTTTTGGTATAAAATTAGTTTACCACAATTTGTGGTGATAATTGTTTTTCATTAGTTTTAGTTTCAGTTTTTATTTTTAGATCTTGTTTTAAATTTTGGTTTTTAGTTTTTAAGTTTCTATTTTTGATTTTCAGCTTTTGGTTTGCGTTTTTAATTTTTAGACCCGTTGAATTAATTTGAACTGATATTACCAACAAACAAATCTCAATTAATCGAACATGTAATTTAAAACTGAAAAGATGACACAATAATTTTCTAAAATTTTTGAAATAGTTTATTTTGTAAATAAAAAAGCAAAAATATAACCTCGTTTTCAGCTTTTGGTTTTGGATTTTAGTATTTAGATTTGTTTTTTTGGTTTTGCTTTACTTTTTTTTTAATTCTGTAAAATATTTAAGAAAGATAAAACAATAACTTATTTAAAAGTTACCATTAAAATTTATCAAGATAGAGTGATTGTTATTTAAAATAAAAAAATATTAACATGTTTTAAAGTACATGATTTAAATAAGTGATTAATAATAGATAATTTTATTTTGTTGAAAATATTAAATATTTTTGGGCTAAAAAATATTAACATGTTTTAAAGTACTTGATTTAAATAAGTGATTAATAATAGATAATTTTGTTTTGTTGAAAATATTAAATATTTTTGGGACTGAAAATAGTAATTGATTTTTGATCCATTAAGGTGGAAAATTTATTTAATGTTTTTTGGAGTTTTTCTTTAATACTAAGCCCAAAACCAAACAATTAAATGTCATAAAAACAAAAATAGGCCCAAGACTCTATTCCATAAATAACCGCTGATTTAATTTAAGTAATGCGGTTCAGTCAACTATATAACTTGTATTATTTGTAACATTCTAGAAAGGGTCCAAATTTAAATGACAATTTGTATCACTAGATAAAAAAAATGACTCTATTTTAATCGAATAAATGCATACAAAAAAACTGATGACCCAGCCACCAGGTATATATATTTTGTTAATATATATGTGCTAGCTGTTTTTTTTATATCAATATAAAAGTTATACAATAAAACGGAGAATTAAATCATAAGCCAAGAAGTTGCATACTGTTCTTGCCGTACATAAGCTCTGCAGCAAAGGAGCTGCTGCTTCTTGTGCCTCTTTATTTGATTTTCAATATTCTAGTTTGGATCAAAATTTCATGATAAAAATTTCTCTATACAAGATTGGTGGGACAAATGCAATGTATTAACTTAAAACAATAAAAATTATTAACTTGTGTCATATTATTTCATTTTGAAATAGCCGGTTAGGCCGATTGAACCGTAATCCAACAAGCAATAACTCTAGCTCAATTTAATCTCCGGTTCAGTTTTTGTTAACATGATTCCACCGTTTTTTACGTCGAGGGATACCGACGCATTATCTTAAAACCAAAGGAGCTGGTAAATTAATGGTACCATTGACTTCTGTAGTACTTAGTCACAAGACTCACAACACACAACTCACAAGGTCACACAAAATTAAAAGTCAAACTTTAATTCTTCGTCACTTCCAAAACTAATAATACCAATCCATCCCGTTTTCTAAAATACTTTTATAATTTGTCGGCCTCATTTACTTCATGCAATAAATATTTCATTTAATTTTCTTTACTAGTAGTACTATTTTTCTTTATCAATAGGTTTATATAATTCACCAATAGTAAAGCTGTCTTTTTCTTTTTTTTTTTTTTTTTGAAACACATAGTAAAGCTGTCTTTAAATCTACGTTTTTGTCTTAAAATCTACGTTTTTCTTTTAAATGAGCGGCGCCATTTGATCCTCTAAACTAAGTGTAGTGTACTTATCTGCTAATAAAAGGCAACTAGGAGCTTGTAAGTAAGTATTGATTGAGTACTAGTACCTGTATCAATAGTTCTTATCTACCCACTACACATAGAATAGAACGCATCTTATACTGAATTAACCTAAATAATTAAACAACTTAACAAGTTGCTTAACCCATTTTTTTTATAAAAAAACTTAATAACTTGCTAAGTTCGATTTTCTTTTTGCCATTCAATTTAGGTATATATATTTTTATTTTTGGCGTTTAGGTCTAAATTTTACTTTGTCGCATATACATTCTTTATTGTCGACATCTCAGACACACTCACACAAATATAATAACATAGAAATAACATTTAGTAAACTGTAAAATATAGATAGAAATTTTACACCAATACTAAAACATTGGGTGAATAATATTTCAGACCCCTTTGGAATTCATAAGGCCATTGTACAACAACCCCTCCGTAATCAATTGTAATTACCGAGTGAAATAAGTAAAATTATTTAGCTCAGGATATCTAAGCGAGTTAATTCGGAAAGCCAAAAATAAATAAATTATAAAAAAAGAAAAAAGATCGATGATCCTAAAATTAGAACCATCTGATTAGGCAAGTTCTTCAAAAGAAATTAGGGTTTTCATCTAACACAATATCACCAATTGGTCCACCAGAGTCCTCAAACAACCACTTTTCGAACAAAGACCACTGACTTTGGTTACTGCATCCAATTATGTCTGGTTTGGTCTCATGATCAGGTGAAACTCCATCCTGATGATGATAGGATGCGTCACAATCTTTCAAATGATCAAACCCCGAAAATGACTGAAACGCCCCTGCACAATCCTTCTCGATATCACTCTTGATCACATCTTTTGTCTCAGAATCTGGAGAAACCATTAGCTCGGCAGAGTTCTGAGTCTTTGGAGGGTTCTTCACCCACCCTTTAAGCAGTTTTGCTATATTCTCGGTGCTCGAGGCATAAGTGGTAGATGTTTCTTGCGTCCTAAGAAACCTGCCAGCTGAGGAAGTAGAACGTCTTGATTCAGTAGACGAAGATGTTGTGGCTGTAGTGGCAAATGTAGAGGTAAGGATTGGTGCTACACAAGGAGACAAAGCCTCAGAGAGAGCCTTCTTAGCCAAGTGAATATCAGTTTGAAGCCTTCTTTCCCATTGGCCTCTTGAAATGTTTGAGTTGGAGTTAGCAGAAGAAGATGATGGAGAAGAAGAGAACGAGGAACGTTCTCTTGATTGATCAAATTCTTGAAGAGAATCTTGATTATTGGCTTTGTTGAGTTTCTTCTTCAAATGAGTGTTCCAATAGTTCTTAATGTCATTGTCTGTCCTTTGTGGAAGATATGACGCAATTGCAGCCCATCTACACCAAATATTAAATGTTCTCTATTATTTGTAATATTTTTTTTTATAATTTCAAAAAGTTGCGAAAAACAAAATTAGAAAAATTATCTTTTGGCTAAGGAGTGAAAATAATTAAATTACCTATTGCCTAAGAGGGCTTGGAGATGGACTATCATCTTTTCTTCATGTTCTGTGAAGTTTCCTCTTTTGATTCCTGGCCTTAAATAGTTTGTCCATCTAAGCCTACAACTCTTGCTACATCTAAGCAACCCTGAATTTCCAAGAAAAAAAATGATCATAAAGGTAAGAAAATGTTTAAAACAGATGAGTAGAGACTTAATTATATATATACATTAAGACAAACAAGAAAAATATTTCATGCATTCGATCTCGATCCTAAATTTATTAACCAAAACCCTAGCTAATTAATTTCAAATAAGGTTTTGATTACGCTTATTTCACAATCAACCCATTTGAAGAACACTGTAGTTAATCAAATTTATTTCATATCAATTTTGGATCCTTGTCTATCTTTCAACTCATAACCGTAGTAATGTCTACATATATTCATACAAACCTTGAGAGATGATGTAATATCTATGTAAATAGTAAGAGATGAAGAATGAAGATTAACATACCAGTATTGGTCGGAACGGCCCTCCAGTTACCAGGACCATGTTCTTGGATGTAAGTAACTAAAATGATATCTTCTTCAGGAGTCCATGGCCCTTTCTTCACTCCTCCTTTGTCACAACAAGGAGGTCTCACCATTATCTTAATCAATCAATATAATTTAAAATCACTCTCTATTCTCTATTTGCCTCTCTTAGTTTCCCACTACAACAACTCTTTGCCAAGAAATTAGAAGAAAATAGGAACAACTTTAGTTGTTGATAAGTCACAGTACTCTTAAGCTCACTAATTAGTACTCTTGACTTTGGATGTATCTAATGGTTAAGCTTGGCGACAAAGTTCTATGTCCAGTCCACCTTCTTCTTCTATATATATATATAAATGGAAAGAGAAGTTGCTGACCCCTCTTGGTCTCTCAAAATCGAGTATTTAATACATATAAATAAAAGGTATATAAAAATGTGGAAAGCATTAACTAAAGCCTCCAAAGTCAGCTGTGTAGCGAAGGTAAAAGTCTCTACCCTCCACACAAAACCGCGTGGCATTCAATGTGGGTTTGCTTCTTTCAAAAACCCTAATATCAAAGTTATATTATTGATTTAGGTGCTATTTACTAACAAATTAAGAGTAAGGGGAACATCCATGATATATGAGATGATATCTCCCTTTCTAGCTTTTGATTTATTGCTTAAGAATTGAATAATGGCTATTGCATTTATGTGTAGTGCATAGGCTTTGTTAATAATAGAAAATTAGAAATTGATGAAATGGTCCTTTGACGAACGAAATTTTCTCTGCGTCATGATTTGCCGTTTCAACCATGAAAACGAATTATATTTTTTAAAAATAGAAAAGGAAATATATTGCTGTTTCCAATTGAACCAGTGGGTCTTTGGCGTTTGTCAAATTACATGATGGTCTACGTCATTGATGATGTTAGGAACTTCTCTATATATATTATGTTTTGTATATGCATCTATATGCATATATCATTATATGTATCATTATATGATTTGGTATGTTTTTATTGGTATGGCTAGCGATTAGAATTGATGGATCACATCTGGATTTTGGTAAACATAGTATTAGGTGAAATTAATTGTAAATTACATAAGTCGTTATCGTGGGTGGTGAAAAGATATTAAGAGATATTTGTATGAGAATTTGGCATAAGATAATGGAGATTTCTGGATTTGATAGACACAAGTCATACAACCATATCTATTTATGTCAACATGTGTATATGTCAACGAATAATTATAAAGATGATATCAATTTGATTTTCACGAGGCCGGAAGAAAAGGAAGAAGAAGAGACACGGGACTCCTTTAATTTCGTCTCTTTTGGTAATGTTTGTGCTATATCTATTTACTTTTATGCAGGTATAGGCTTTCTTTTCGTTGATTTGTACAAGTTGTGAAATTTCATTTTGTCTAAAGTTAACCGATTATGAACGATTATAAAAATGTGTTAACAGGCTGTTTACCAATCATTTGGATTGAGATTGCATTGTTGCGTTATCAACTCAAAGACTGACAATAGTTCATGCATTAATACCAAACTAAAAACAACTCATCAGTTACGAGTCCAACTCTCTATTAAAGTAATACGAATTTCCGTTGGCCACAAAAAATGGGAGTTATGTACTTTATAATAGTATGATATATTGTAGATTGGTATTTTTACACTATAATTTATATTATCACATAACGCATTAAGGGACGAATCATAGTAAGCATGGAGGTGGGATATCAGAGGCATAATAGTCTTATAAATACATATACATGATTTGCTATTAATAAATGACGACTAAAGAACATGGAATGCATGTGTGATGTATGGATGGTGCTTGTGATGTAGGGACGGGCAAAGCACATTTTCCAGCGTAAATACCTATTTTAATTATTAGCTAGACAAAGGAAATAAAAGAGAGAAAAATATAAGCATAAACAAAATATTAGGTATTGATTAGTATTACTATTTGCCAATAAAAACAGAAAACTAAAATATTATTTGTCGATGAAGAGAAATAAAAGCACTGCAAGCGCACATGCAGTTAATACGTAAGAACAAATGCATAGTTCAGTCCATATTTATTATCAGCAAGTGACAAGTGCATGCGATCGGTACCATTTTCCTTAACCAAACGAATTGATAACCGCACTTAACCGGTTGTTAGGTTTGGTTATTAAGTTGTTAAAAAATTTAAAGGCTATTGAATGTTTGGGCCTGGTGATTAGATAACGGGCCTTATTTTCTGAACTGGGACCCATTAATTTCAGTCATCTTCTCAGATATTCCGGCCATCCGATCAAGTCTTGTTTGATGGTTATCAAGAAGACTAGCCGTTGGCAAGTGAAGTATATATCTTTCTCTGTCAATTTAATTGTTAGTGCTACTCTAAATTATTCTATACAGTATATATAAAAAGCAATAATATAATTTTAAAGTTCATAATTTTATTTATATAATCTTTCCATTTCAAGTTAGTTGTTGTTGTATACTAAAATTTTTGTTTTAAAATAAATGTCATTTTATAATTTCAAAGGAAAATATATTGACTTTATCCACTATTATATTTTTTATATCAATTGAAATGTGGTTAGGTGTATAATTAATTGTATTTTTTTTAGAAAATATGCAAAATTAAATATTTTTAATATGTGTACAAAAATCCAAAACGACAAATAAATTAAAACGACATGAGTATGTTTTAATACTTTTAAATTATAGAATATAAATTTAGAAATATAATTAAAATATTAAAGTTCTAATTTAAATATCTTTTGAAAATAAATTTAAGTTTTTTTTAGAAAAAACTCGGGAAAAGTTTGACTATATTATTAAACGACTCTGCTAACTGTTATTTTTTCTTATTAAGTTTCTTAAATAGTTTAGACAGTTTAAACCTACTAATTATTTCATGCATATTTTATGGCATCATTATGCATTATAACCATCAAAAACCGATCCATGTGAGTGGATTGTCTTGCGCATCTAAGACTAAGAAGATGAATGTCCTGATGAATATATAATGCTTGAGACATAATATAGACTTGAATCAATTCTAAACTAGAGATAAAATATACAATTTGATAGTTTCAAAAAAAAACATATACAATTTGAGTTAAATTAATCCTTTGTCCAATGTCAAAGCTTTCCACTGTAATTAATTAATTATTCATAACTCTAACTAAAAAAATAAAGATACAATAACATACAGTTTAATTACACTAGGTGGTCTAGTGATAGCATATTTTAGAAGTTAAATGATTCGGGTTCGAAATAATCCCATTACACTAAACATGTGTGGTCAAACTGATATTCATATAAGATTATAATTAATCTTTTTTTTTATGAATATTAGAGAGAATATCTCTCTGTAGATTACACATTTTTTTTAAAAAAACTTAGTTTAAATCTTTCTATAAATTTGGGATACCTCCTTGTTAATAAAGAAAGAAACATTGTTAGGTCGGAAGCATTGTTGAAGTGGGAGGAGGTGAAATGTAAATCATATAGTTTTGGTTTTGGGTACACATTAATTCACCGTTTGGATAGATACTTAGTGGATGATAACTAGACTCTGACTTCACGCATGTTAGCCTATACTTTTTTTTCCAAACTATGATTTATTACACTTGAAATTCTCGAAGACATGTGGTTGTTTTGGACACAGAATCATCATGTAATTCTACAGTTGCATCTCTGATCTTTGTCAATTGCTACAATCAGCAATGCAGTCAAAGAAAGTATTGGACTAGCCCTGGCAGAAGCATGTGCCACAACGTGTACTGTCTTTTCAGCAAATAGTCTCACCACCGTCAAGTTCCTCTATAAAGAAGGTCCAGACAACTTGCAATGCAAAGTCTCTTATGTTTTATACACTATTCCCTAACACTTTGTAAAAATCACAATGTTGAATTCGTATGTACTCTTAGGTTTTAGATTCATTGTGGCATAACCTAGTAAATAGTAAAAAGTTCAGAAAATGTTCAAAGATTCCAAAAAGTGTTGATATACCACTACAAAACTATTGTTACAACAAGGCAGAGAGCGTGAGAGAAATACTAAAACATTCATTACCATCTACCTGAGAAGAAAATATGGATTAAAACCTTCCCAAACCTCTCCAGCAAGAACACTAGACAGATCCACCAAAGAATCATCCATCGACTTTTCATGTAATCCGACAACTACTCTGAACATGTTAGACACCAGAGGGTTCCTCAGAAACGGTTTTAAAGCTTCCCCGAGCTCAACAATATCAGCAAACATTACTTTCTTGTCATTGCTATGTGCTGAGAATCTGAAAATGCAGTTGGAGAAGACGTAGAGACCCAGGAGATTACCATAAAGTGGTAAAAACACGTCCTTGTGGTTCCCTACACCACCTACCCAGCTCTCTCTTTGTTTCCCTACATGGTCCTTAGCAAAAGAAAGCAGCTTACTTTGGAACTTACACCTCCATTCCAGTAGTTGCGCATGAGGGAGGTCTCTGTTTGCTAGCTTCTGTAGATGGTCACAGCAAAACTGCAAGATGAGTAGCTTTTCTTCATGGTGATTATCGATTTCCTTGTCGAAAACACGTCTCACTAGATCACTACCTCCCTTCAGTGGCGAAGTGTAATCTGCAGTGTTGAAGACCCATCTCGTGAGATAAAGGAAATACTCGTTCCAGTGACCAAAGACGGAAGATAAATGTTCAAAGCTCAGTTCCAAGACTTTCTCAACTTGTGTAGGAACTTCCATGGCAGCGGAGAAACACTTCTGAACATCCGTGGCGAGTTTTGACCTGATGAGATCATCTTCATCCTCCAACAGTTTGATGCAAGTGAACCACAACTCCAGGATTTGATACGCGTATACATCACAAGCGGTTTGAAATTTACTTACAGAGGGAGTTTGGTGGTTTGAGACAAGAGGACCAATGAGCTTCGCTTGTTCTAATATACCGGATGCTATAATAGCCTCTGCAGATGCTTGACGAACATTCACTTGCTCAGATGATGAGCTTTTCTCTTTGATCATGTTAACAAAGTAGGAGACACAATAAATTACACAACTCAATCTTGGCTCCTCTTCGTTTTTGTCAAAGAACAAACCAGTGAGATGCTTCACACAAATCGCTAGGCAAGACATGAGTGTACCTCTAGTTTTAGCACGTCTTGTGCCCTCATATAAAGAAGTCAGCTTACCCCAAAGATGAATCACCGAATCATAACTCAATGAACCAACATAAATGCCTTCAACAGATTCTTTTTTGAACATAAGAAGATTCCACTGACAAAGAATCCTCAGAATGTAATTCTCACATCTATGATTCTTCTCCTTCTCCAAGAGATCCAATAACATCACCTGGAGACCGTTACTCGCCCAATGCCAGATACTGCTCGTCTCTGAGTGACTGGAGTCTTCTGATTTCAGAAATTGCAGAAACCACTTCAGTGTTGCAAGACGAACTTCATAAGATTGATCAGAGATACAACGAAGGAGCCTATCTTTAACATCAGGAAAGTCTAATGCCTCAGGAACTTTTTGCAATGGCGAATTTGGTTTTTGAGTAATCTGGAAAGCTTCAGCTGCTTCATCAGATGGCTGAAACACGCAACCAAAGTAAGATACAGCTGCTTGTTCCCTAAGCTCAGCAATCGTAGGGTCATAATAGGAGAAACCATAAGAAGCCTCTGCATCCAAGCAGCTTGTAGATAAATCCAAATGCAACTTGTAAACATCCTTGAGATTTTTGCTTTCAGAGCATGAACATCCAATAGCCCGCATATGATCAAGAACTCTCAAAAATGATGTACTGATGATAGGGCAAGGGCACAGCAACGGAGAAGCCATCCATGTGCATTTTGCAAGGACATTGACCAGTTGTTCAATAATCTGATCCTTCTTAGAGTTATCAGCAAGGTCTCTACAGTTTGTATCTAGGAGATTACCAAGTTGCAACAATATTCCGTGAAGATAATTGAAAGACCCACTTTGGACTTCATTGCAAGGCAATGTTGAGGCAATGCTGAGAAGAACGCTTTGGAGTTTCTCATTGGAAACGAGACCAACTAAAGCACGGGATGCCAAAACACGAACACGGAGATTACTTTGAGTAGAGCATTTCATAATAAAGGGCATGAAAACGAAAGGGTCCAAGTCATCTCCAGATTCACTTGCAATGGGTGAAGGCTTAAGCCTGGATAAAAGAATGAGGATGGGCCATAAACTCGGATGGACATGGTTTGCGAGGTTTGAATCTGATGGACCAGATGTGTCGAGCATATCAGTCGCTGCCTTTAGTTCACCATATATGAAAGGGTGCAACAAGGGGTACCTTCACGAAAATTACCACAATATTAACTGGTGAATGCGAACACATTTTCAAATATAGAGACAACTAAGAAGGCTTTCTCTAATAGGCATACCTGTGAAAAAATTCAACCCCAGTCAGGCCACGCCGAGCAGATCCACGTTTTTGAACATTAAGGAAACCAACCATCCGGCGGAGCAAGGCAGTATATGCAAGTGTGGCACTGTTTCTGACCTCCCAATATGGTGAAGAGAAGGATCTTACTGCAACAGTCATAGCCTCCGCAGAAAACCCAGAAGTATCAGTGCCCAAGTTTGTGTCGTTGAAAGCAGCTTTGAGAACATTGAACGCATGCACCGTTGGAACAACACCTTCATCACGGACCTTTGAAAGTTTTTCACTTGAATGCAGATTAGAGGGATTGACCTCCTCATCCATATGTTCAGAATCTTTCTGTTCTACAGGATCCATGAGAGGCTTCTCTGCAAGACTTATCAGCCACCTAAGCGCCTGTGGGAGAAGCTTTTTCGGAGAACCCTCTGGCTCTGAGAGAAACATAGCAATGAATGCAGCGGGGATTCCTGCACTTCTTCTTAACAAATCGTCCACTGTTTGTCCTTTGGCCACAGTTCTTTCCATAAGTTGCTCCATCCAGGATTCTGTCAACCTACAAAGTCTACGAAAAAAACACAAAGACAAAAAAATCAGTAAATAGAAGGACAAATTACATGGGACGTAAGAAGTTTATAATCTTACCTTGGGTCGTTAGAACATAGTAAACGGTGGCACAAAGCTGAAAACCCAGCTCTTGTCTTATCTATGGCACCATTGTGCTTCATTTTTAAAAGTACTTCCAAGAAGTGATCTCCAATCTTTTCAAGTTGCTTCAGGTCAAGCAGTGATTCAGAGTTTCCTACCACTGAATCATCAGGGACTACAGAAGCCAGATCACCATTCTCTAAAGGTGCAAGGCTGCTGGTAGGTAATGGAATTTTTCTTATGATAGTCCCTAAAAGAAGACTCACCTGAAGAAAAAGACAGTTTATCTTAGAATGCTACTCCGAGGAATTAAAACATTAAACACACATAGAGAAAAGATGTAAAAGTGAGGATAATTGTCAGAAAGATGACAGAAACAGTACCTCCTTCATGGCGAGCCAACAACCAACCATAACAACCTGTTCTGATTGTATTGTTTCTTGCACAGGTTTTGGATGTGTATCCTTTTGTTCCTTTGAGAGAGCAGTAGCAGCATCATCTTGAACATCTGGCAAGAAACTATCGTCATCTACTATGTCATCCATATCCTCATCCAAACACAAAGCATCTGCAGAAACCACCCAAAGTGCTAATGTAGTTATTCGCGTCACCAGTTTAAGAAGCTTTTCCAGTTCCTCTCTCATCTCTGACATACTAGATAACACTGCGTTTGAGTTCCAATCCAATTCCTCAAAAGTATAGCGCAAAGCCAGTAATACCCCATGAACAAAACTGTTTTTGCATGCTTCGGAGAGATCATGCTCACCCTCCTTCACACAAGTATCAAGCCAATGAATCAGTGATTTGATATACTCAATCACAGGATACTTTGCGGGCTTGGAGTTCTGATAAAACCCATTCGTGGTTTCACACTCTCTTTGACAACAAACAACATCGGTGGAAACCTTGACTATCCATCCAAGGTCCAAAACGTACTTTCTAAAGATAAGCCTTAGAGTCAAAGAGCCTGCATCACTCTCTCGTACACGTGGACTGCAGACTAGATGTTTGGCCCATGGGATAATGGTCTGAACCATGTCTTCACTTGAAACGCCGGTAAATGGAGTTGGAAAATGAAGCAATATACGGAAAGCATTTTCTCTAAGCCTGTCCCAACTATCAACAATCGATCCCACCAGTAATAAAGTTGAATCATGCGAAGTGACAATATCACAGTATGGGTAAAGATGCGAAGTGAGGTCCTTAGAAGGCACGATAGGCCAGAACTCAATCATGATTAGTATAAGCTCCGTCGCCATTATTTTTCTCCTGTAAGGAGCAGAAGGGTAGCAAGACAAAGACAAAAACGAACTCAGCCACCTCATAAACTTGAACAGACTCTCTGCTCGTAGGACTGCATCCTCGTCAACTTTTTTATTCGAACATGTTTCACTGTTTCCGTTGGCTAGACGTGGTTGCCAGCTTCCTAGCTTATACTGCTTCTCCAGCGACGTACGAACTCGAGAAAAAAACTTCCTAAACAAACTGGTCCATTTCATTTGAAAACCTGTAGAAGATGACCTCATGTTCAAGGGAACAGCCTCCTTGATGAGATAGAGCTCAAAGGGAGATGGAAGACTAGCGGTCTTGGGGTTTAAGAAGAGTGTCTCTGCAGCATCAACACGAACAGACTCATCAACGTGGGTCAACGCCATTTTTAGCCACTCAACGGGAACTTTTAACTCAATACCCTTAATTTTCACAAATGCAAATGCATCATCAGTACTTCCTTTTTGTTCAATATCTCCTTCAAGGAATGCAAGTGTACGACAAACTTTGAGCAGTGACACTAAAACAGCCACTTTCTGCTCAACTGTCAGTTCCATACTAATGCTACTCAACTCCGTGTAGATCAGCTTGGTCTCTTCCTCACTCGGTTCAATTGATATCAAACCAAGCAAAGGAAATATACAATCTACATCCAGTTCCAGTAAAACTTGTACTGCATAAGTATTAAGATTTGACCTGAGCTTCGACATTCCAGAAGCAAGCCCGTAAAGAAAAGGAGGCAAACAATGCTGTCGATAAATCGCATAGCCCTGTTCCACACCTTCACTCCCCCAGCATTCATCACGCAACATTTCAAGGAAACACTTTATAAACGATGTGACAGCACAGCAGACATCATCATCAACATATGCATTTGCCATCTCAAACAATAGGTTAGGGCTCATATCCAACAAAGTCTTTGTACCTAACCGCCTCGTCAAGGATGCTAATGGAACGTACCTTCCCTTACACCGTGGTCCCAGACGAAGAAGATAACTGACAATCTTCAGCAAAGATTCCTTTACTTCCACTTTATCATACGTCTGGTGAATGGTGGTTTGAATGTCTAGTAAGAGGTCAAACATGAGATGAACCTGTTTGACTGTCTGGCTCAAAGGGTCCTCCAAGTTGTTCCATATAATTTTAAGCACCCGGGATACCTTGCTGTCTGGCATTGGATCATAATCTTCTGCCAAATCATTTAACGTAGACATCTTGATCTGCTGCAAGCAGATCTGCATAACAGTTAATGCGTGGAAGTTTAAATGGCTGTCAATAGGGTTCTCGCATAAATCACAAAGCTCAGGCAAAATTCCATCGTACAGAATAGTTTTGTGATCACAATCACCGTTAGAGGAAACCAGAACACCTCTAGAAACTGCTGTAAGAATCCCTCTGATCAAGCAGAGTCTACTCAAAGATGAAAAGCTTCTGATCTCAGAACAAATATCCCCACCAAATGGAATCTTACCAACAATATCAGTTAACTCAACGACACCACCACTCCAGCAAAATATACCTTGAGCTATAAACAACCCAACCTCTTCCTCTTCAAGACAAACCTGTAAAGCAGCACAGAAACTCACACCAGCAGCCACACAACAGTCCCTAGAGAAAGCCGCCGACTTCAATATCCTTATCTGAACAGCAAAAACCTTTTCCATAATACTCGCACCCTTAAACTTCAAAGGAAACCTCTGAAACAAGTAATAAGAACAAGACAAAGCCTCTTGGCACTGCTCCATAACAGTAGGAGGAGGTCTAGCACAAGCTTCAGTCTCTAAAACAATACCATTCAACCCCGAAACAACATCACAACCCACCAAAACCGCGCAATCTTCAATTATATCAACCAAGTAACCCAACTTAGGCATTCCCATAACAGACAAAGCAACTCTAGACACACAGAATCTCTTCCCACCGTCTTCCAAACCACCATACTCATCACAAAGCTCTCTAAAACACGAACTAATCACCGAATGGAACTTACGGGTTTTAGCCAAAGCTGAAACAAGAGTCCTATGAAGAGGCTGTGAATTCTCCATGAACAGAATCTCCAAGTAAAATTTAACAGCTTCACGTATAAAGACTGGTTCTTTCTCACTTTCTTCCTCATGGGTCTTCGAGATAACTTCACCGAACGAGGTAACGACTCTCTTGGCGTGGTTAACTTGCGCGTAGGTTGAGTTTAACGAAGCCAACTCTTCGATGTCGGAGTAGAGCTTGGGACAGGAGTGGGATAAACTGGATTGGGTTAGAGAGGAGGTGAAGGAGGTTGGGAAGACGATGGCACTGTATGTGTAACGGTGGCGATGCTGGAGAGCTCGCCACTTTGCAGACATTTTCTTTTTGTTGAGCTGTGAGTAAAGAGAAGAAAAAAAAGTTAGAAACTTTAATTTTTTGTTAGAAGCAAAAATAAAAATTGGAACTTTAGAGTACCCTTTGAAGCAGAGGAGGTTTGGATGGAGGTCCTTCAATGGCGGCTCCGTAGTAAGAACAAGTTTTGATTTTTGAGAGGCAAAATCGATGAACAGAGGTTTTAGGGCAAAACCGAAGTTAGAAATTTACTGTAAAAGAATATTTGAGAAGACAAAAAAATAGGCCCATAGTATCTTGCCTGTAATTTGTTATGGGCCTAAGGCCTTAAAGCCCATTAAGATTGTTATTTTTTTGTTGAATCTAGTGATGTTTATAGGTCTTCGGTGTAGTGGTGTGGGATTGGTGTTAGATGGGAAAAACATTTTGAATAATACGGTTTTCGTTGCAAGAGAGAAGTATGGAGACTTCAGTATACTCTTATCCAAGTCCGTGATTGCTGCATGAGAAGAGAGCTTCTCAGTACTGAATAGGGGTGGGCGTTCAGGTTTAAGTCGAGTATTTCGGATTTTCGGGTATTTTGGTATTAGGGTTTAGAACCGTTCGGGTATTTTTATATATCAGGTCGGGTTCAGATATATTTAGTTCGGGTTCGGTTATTTCGGGTCGGTTCAGATATTTAGATTTTGAAATAAAAGTTTCAAATTCTTTATTACTTAAGTTTCATGTATTTAAAATTTAACTATTAACTTAACTGTTTTTAAAATGTTTAATAAGTTAGACGATTAATAATTTTGAAAATAAATTATTGAAAATAAAAATCATTATTTTGGTTGTTATTTTTGAATTTTGAATGTAAATTTTGTTTGAAATATGAAATAAGAAGCTTAATATGCTATTCAAATGAGTAACAAATCAACTTTTTTTTACAATTATATATATATATTACCTGATCTTAAACTATATATAACATTAATATAAATATTTTTAATAAAAGGAGACAAATAAACTAGGAATAAATAGGTATATATACATATGTTCGGTTATCTTCGGATATGCGTTTGGGTTCGGGTATTACCCGTTATATCCAAACTCTCTTAATTCAATACCTGTTCGAATATTTTGCTACTTCGGTTCGGATATTTCGGGTCGGCTTCGGGTACGAGTTCGGGTATCGGATAAAATGCCCACCCCTAGTATTGAATATGTATGGACTTTTAGATGAAGCTAGAAGCCTCTAGAACTCGCTCTGTTGAAACCTGCCTTTATATATATTAATATATATGCAATGTTTTTATAACCTGTATTACACTATCCACGTTGATAGTAGCGTATGAATTGTACAATTGTGTGTATAATCATTTGGCTGTGAAGCATATTTTTGTTCCTCGACTATAACCCGACTTTGTTTAGCACTGATACATGACTGGTTATTAACTAGCTGCAAGGTTTTGGATTTGGTCTAAGACACTTCCTTTGTTTAGTTTTTGTCTAGGACAATAAACGATTCAATCTCGAGATTGATAATTCGAACCACTGGTTAACAATGTTATTGCCATTGTCTTATTTGTCAACGTTGTTCTCACTAACGTATTTTGGCTACTTATCTTTTTATACATGTACTAACACATTGGCGGAAAGAAATATTTATATATGTGTAATATAATATTTTGGCTCGTAATGCGGATAGATTTATTTAACTTATTCAGAAAAAGGATTTGGGTGTGCAATGTCAATGAGGAAAAGATGATACATTTTAGTGTAAAGGGTCGTGAGATTAAAACACCACCGATGATAACAGGTTAAAGGGAATGCATGTTCTAAAGGCTTTCTCTCTTTCTCGTGCATTGCATCATTAAACCTTTAATTTGGGTATATCATCATTTCCTTCAATTTGTTATCATCGCTATATAATTTTCTTACTTCGTTATATATATATATATATAATATTTTCGAGGATGATCAAACTAAAAGTGGGTTTTCAGTACCCTGAATTGTCATCTAATGAGATGTGTGAATGAAAATAAAACGCGAAAAAACTTATGGTGATTTGGTGATCTTCAAAAACAATCAACATATTTTGCACACTTTCGAAATAGTGAACTCGTGATCAATCCATTGTTGATTTGCATTGCATTTTATCAAGTTTTACAAATTTTCATGTTATAATAAATGTCTCTCTAACTATAGAATTTAAATGTTGCATGACAACGGCTACGAAAACTTACAAATATGGTATTATCTTTGATCATCATTAGTCAATATGTCTATATACCCGACGCCAAAAAAACGAAGAAGACAAGACTGATGTAGATTGCAATGGTTATATATATGATATCTATGAAAACTTCAATTGTAAATTTTATCATATTAGGAAAAATGAGCCGCCTCATTTCAAAGAGAAAATTAGGCAGAGGTAGTTGACGTTTTGTTTACAAAATTATATGTGTTTTAACCATGTTAATATTGATCATTGATGTGTATCTATTGTCATTTTGATTTGAAGTACATAACCCTAGTTAGAAAAATAGGTTAGGGACGTCGGTCCTAATATCACGGAAGGTGGCCAATAAAATAAAGCATAAGATAATAAGCGATCTTTCTCTGCATAATGAAAAAGTATTAGATTGAATTTCTTAGAAAATGGGATATAAGAGTGTGATTCAAAGGTGACAATGGCACCAAGACAAACTAATTTATTATAATTGTATCAAAGGAAAAGTGATTAATGTTGGACCCTACGATACCCATATAAAGGCAAACAATAATAATTCCCAAACATGTATGAGTTGGTTGAATCAACTTATATAAATAATCCACGTACTAACTTCCATTATAATCAGAATTATTTATTGAATGTGGTAATTATCATTCTCTAAATAGATGGTGTATCTATAAATAAAAAGCATTGCATACAGTCGAATCTTTTTGCTGTGTGTTTAAGTACCTTTAACAACTAATAAAGTTGTGCCTACAATAAAGAGAAAATGAAAAAGGTCACTAAACTAGCCGATGCTTTATTTTCTTTCTTTCTTTTTTTTTTTTTTTTGATAACTCAGGTGTCCGGGGCTTATTTAGAGACCCGACTATCCCCCGAAGGAGTCCTGAAGGCCAAACGGAAACCATGTTAAATCCGCTGTGGCCGGGGCTCGAACTCGTGATGGCGGGCACCTCAGCCGAGGTTCCTTTACCACTAGACCACGAGGCCCGGTTTATTTATTTATTTTTTTTTTTTTTTTTTTTTTTTTTTTTTTTTTTTTTTTTTTTTTAAAAAGTTCATTAAGTTCGGCAAACAACAACAAAAAAATCCATTTGATTAACTATAGCCTATAGTCTATAGATATGATACAAGACCTAATTCTCTTCATATTAATTCCTTTTAGTAAAAAATGGGTTTACGTCAAAAAATGCATCTCCACGAGTTTAATTCGTCATATACAATGTATTATGTACATGGATCATTATAACAAAATATGCTCAACATGATCTCTGTTTATGTCAATGATCAGACCAACCAATCAACCTTTAGAAGCAATGTAAATATCTAGTGACAATCAGCCTTTTAAATTAGTGAAACTTGTTTGAGGGGTGTTTGTTGTTACTGTATATCGTGTCGTGTCCCCTACCAAACATCGATGCTTCCTCAAAAAGTAAAAGGCACTTCGTTGAAATTGTACCACGATATCTTCGTTATGTTGGAATAGAAGCTTTGCAAAAGCATTATATAAAACATTCCATCAATGGATTACAAATAATTATAGTAGCAATAAACCGTAGACCACAGCTTTTTCAACACATCACATGCCCCGATTTTGGCCACAACCCAATCTTGAATCTCTTTAAACAATAATCATATGAATATTTATATGATATTTTATAACATAAACAAGATGCTTTGCTCGAGAGAAGGGGTGCAGAAACAACCAAACCCACCTATTTACTATTTATCCATTATTTATTCTTTATCTATTGTCGTTGGCCACTTGGCCTATCGGTATCAGTATTTTTTTAATTATTTTGGTCAAGTAACAGTATTTTCTTTTTCCATTTTCGCTATATAGGTAGGAGCTTTAGCCTTTGAGTACTTGTTTATTATTCATAACTAGGTGTTTTGTTCGCCATGCGGGCTTAAGTGTTTTATAATTATATATACTAATTAAATATATTACTGATTAAAATTATAAGCATATATTATTATTTGTGTTTTCATTTTGAAAATTTTTAATCTTAAAATTATTCAAATATTATTTTTTCAATTATAAAAATTATGAATTTTAATTAATTAATATTTAATTATTTATTTTCTGCTTTTGAATTTTTAAATATTTTATCAAAGATAGTTTCAAAATTTTTTATTTTTATTAAAAATTATTCAATATTATTTTTTCAATTATATAAAATTAAGAATTTTAATTAATTAATATTAATTATTGTTTTCTGTTTTTAAAATTTTAAATATTTTATGAAAATATAGTTTTCAGATAACAATACAATATATATAGGAATTATCTTTTTAAAATAAAATATATTTTTGATTTTGGATAACTCTTATTGTTAGTGATTAAAATAAATTATCTAATAAAATAAATTTAAATTCGTTTTTATATATACTTAATTTATATAATTTATTCATTAAGTGTATAAACGATATTAGCCACTCTAACTTTTAAAGTGAGAGCTCCGTTGCGAAAAATCACTTCGCAAATAATAGTATAGATAGATAAAACTAAAGGAACAAAATACGAAGCTGGTAAAAGAGGTACAATAATATATAAATCTCAAAAAGTAATTATCAATGTGTTAGAACTGAAATATAATGTACCCATGGATAATATTACAAATATCTATAACATTATTTGAGAAGTAAATTTGCTTAGTTGTCAACTTCTCCATGATTTTAGGTTATTTTATTTATTTTCATGTTTTAATAATTTAGTATATAATAAAAACGAATTTATGTTAATAATATAATATTTTTAGAAAATATTATAATATTTTTAGAAAATATGTTAATTATTTTGTACTAGATTGTTATCTTAAAAAATATATTATTCAATTATTATTTTAGAAGTAAAAATTTACTTAGTTGTCAACTTCTCCATGATTTTAGGTTATTTTGCTTATTTTCATATTTTAATAATTTATTATAAGTAAATTTGCTTAGTTGTCAACTTCTCCATGATTTTAGGTTATTTTACTTATT